GGAAGAGGACTGGAAAAAATTTAAGGACTATCTACAAAAACATTATAAGTTATATGAATGTTGAGAATTTGCTAAGTTATTGGAAAAACATGCTTCAGTATGGAGATTTGAAAATGGGGGAAATTAAGTTATGACTGTGAAAAGTTCAAAATTTAGAGCAATGTTCCTATTATTGGGGATGGAGGATGGAAAGAAGTTAGTCAATAATAAGTACTCTAAATCTAAAATATAATCAGACGAAAGTACAAAAACGCATGAAACAAGGTATTAATTTGCTGTAATTTTATTTTCTACAAAGAATGCAGGGCGCTGGGGATGTGGGGAAGTCCAGTGGATCATGAAAAATGTTTGAAAATGTGAATTTTCTTTCTTTTAACTTTCTCTTTCTATTCTGTAAAACCGCTTTTGTTGAGTTATTGATGATGTATTTGACCCTGGAAAAAAGCAATAAAAAATATTTTAAAAAAAATAAATAAATGGGATCAATGGGATCCATACAATTCATACATACCCAATGAGTTGGGACGCAAGCTGCCCTCCAACGGCGACCACTCGGCCTCAGGGGAGACCGCAATCACCTCCTCCTCGTGTCTCCCCAGTGCCTAAAAGAGCAGAGAGGATTCCCGTCAAGTCAACGCCTCGGAGTCAGGAGGGCAAACCCCCCTCAGGCTCACCCTGAGGAAGATCAAATCTTAAAACTTTCTCAAAAGACCACCAGGTCAAATCAGCAATGATACACTGGGCAAAGGATTTGGGACATAATATCCAGATGGCAGATTGGGAAAGGTTATGGAAAACGGATCTGAAATCTACAGCATGCTGTACACTGAAAATTACCGTATTTTTCGCTCTATAACACGCACCCGACCATAACACGCACGTAGTTTTTAGAGGAGGAAAATCCGCAGGCATGCCACCCGTAGGCATTCCCTCCATAACACGCACAGACATTTCCCCTTACTTTTTAGGAGGAAAAAAGTGAGTGTTATGGTGCAAAAAATACGGTATATGAAAATGATGTACCGGGGGTATTTGACTCCTAGTAAGTTAGCAAAAATGTATAGAACTAGTGCAAATACCTGCTGGGAATGTAAAGAAAAAGAAAAATTATCATATGTGGTGGTCATGTCAGGTAATAAAATCTTTCTGGGAGATGATATATAATGAAGTTTTTAAAAAATGTTTAAAATAACTTTTGTTAAAAAAACCAGGAGCTTTTCTATTAGGAATTATAGGAATTATATTCCAAAGAAGACATTTTATGTATACAACTGCTGCATAGATGTTACTAGCCCAGAGACGGAAAGAAGACAAGAGTCCCTACCAGAGAGGAATGGCAAACTGAGCTGATGGACTGGAAAGCTCAGGAAACAAGAGGACAAAAACTTTATAAAAGGAATGGGATTTTTAAAAAAATTATTTAGGAGACCATTGCAAGCAGATGAAAACATGAGCAGGATTTTAATCTCACTTGTAGTGAAACAATTATTATGGACAATACAGTGCTACCTCGGGTTACATATGCTTCAGGTTACAGTCTCCGCTAACCCAGAAATATTGCTTCAGGTTAAGAACTTTGCCTCAGGATGAGAACAGAAATTGTGTTCCGGCGGCGCGGCAGCAGCAGGAGGCCCCATTAGCTAAAGTGGTGCTTCAGGTTAAGAACAGTTTCTGGTTAAGAACGGACCTCCGGAACGAATTAAGTACTTAACCCGAGGTACCATTGTATGGAGTGATACAAAATATAGACTATGGAATAATATGCAGCTGTAAATGTTGACAACAGGACCCACGGAGGGGGTGGGGGGAAGTCTTGAGATTCAGAGTAATCTCTGTACTGTGGTACCTCGGGTTAAGAACTTAATTCGTTCCCGAGGTCCGTTCTTAACCTGACTCTGTTCTTAACCTGAAGCACCACTTTAGCTAATGGGGCCTCCCGCTGCACAATTTCTGTTCTCATCCTGAGGTAAAGTTCTGAACCCGAGGTACTATTTCTGGGTTAGCAGAGTCTGTAACCTGAAGCGTATGTAACCTGAAGTGTCTGTAATCCGAGGTACCACCGTATATGGATATACATTTGGATTGTTCTAATTTTACATTTCGAAAATCAAATCAAAATGATTTAAAATAAAATCTTAAGACTTTCTCTCCTCTACCTCGGCCTCTGGTTGCTGGCGTCTGAGGAAATCTTCGGCCAGGGCCACCGCCTGGGAACAGGTCTGAGGGCCGCGATCCCTGACCCAGCTCTGCATCTCCGGAGGCAGGATGGTCAGGAACCGCTCCAAGATCACCAGCTCCAGGATCTGCTCCTTGGTGTGCCTCTCCGGCTTCAGCCACTGCCAGCAGAGTTCCCGGAGCTTCTTGCAAACCTCTCGGGGTCCCTCGGCTTCCTGGTAGCCAAACTGCCCGAAATGTCTGCCCTGCGCGTCGGTGCCAGTGTCGTCCTTTCCCACGGCCTCTTTCTCCGACGTCCTGTTTTCTCCAGCGACCGGATTGCTAAAGGCTCCTGGAGCTCCTCTGCCATTGCTCACCAGAAGCTGAGCGACTCCATCTCCGCTGGGCCAATGGCCAGCAACCGTCACGGCCTCACAAGAGCCCCACAGCAACGGTTTCGACGGCTGTTGGCTTCCCCACCCGGAGGGAAGGGGCTGCACGGCCTTTAGGACCTCCTGCCACTGAGTTTCCCAGCGTTGCGCCAAGCCTTCCTCGGACCCCTGGGTCAACTCTTGGGGGGGCACCCATCCCAGAAGCTCCCCGATGGTCCCAACCTGGATGACGCGAGGGACCACCCGTTCCCCTTCGGATTCCAGAAGCCCCACTTGGGATCCCTCCCTGAGTTTCGCGCCAGGGATCGCCTCGTGTTCTAGAACGTTCTGCAAAGGGAGACTCATGACCCCGCCGGCCCTCAGCTCGGCAGCCATTTTGTCCAACGGCGTTGGAACACCGGAGGCAATGTCCACAGAGAGCGTAGAAAGTGTTATTTTAAGCTGGAAAGCCCATCACCGGAAGGACGACGAGGGTTCTGAAATGTTGCCACATCGAGGCTTGCAGGCCTAAAACAAACAAACAAACAAACAGAATATTTGTAGCCTTCTCCTTAAAGAAAGAGCTAAACAAAGAGTTTTACTCCTTCTTATCCAATGTGTGAGAGACTTGTGCCTTTGTGGATGTACCACAGGTGGTGCCAGGGAGGACCTTGCCATCAGTCGCACCTCCTTTAAAAAAAGCGCATCTCATGTTTTCATTTGCCAGGCTGATTCCTCCAGGACACACCAGCAGGATCTGTCGATGGTGCTGCAAGTCACTCCGGTCAAATTGTGACTTTATGCTGGATTCAGCAAAATTTCCAGACAGCAAGAAAGAAACTTCTTTTCCCTGAATGAAGATGACAAAAAGTGGAATAAATAAGCCAAACCAAGCTGTTTTGACTGTTGAGTCGTTCTGAAAGAGAAACTGTATTTTAAGCCTTCAGGCTGAGCATCTGCCTTGCATGATCCTGGGCTCAATCTTTTGCATCTCCATGCAGGGCTCGAGATAAGATGGCTTTCCATGTTGATAATAATAATAATTTATTTATACCCCACCCATCTGGCTGGATTTCCCCAGCCTCTTTGGGCAGCTCCCAACAGAATAATAATAACAATAATAAAGCGAAAAACAACATTAAAAACTTCCCTAAACAGGTCTGCCTTCAGATGTCTTCTGAAAGTCAGATAGTTGTTTATTTCCTTGACATCTGATGGGAGGGTGTTCCACAGGGTAGGTGCCACTACTGAGAAGGCCTTGCCTTTTTTCCGAGTGTGCTCATTCAACTTTTCCCTTTCCTCCAGTCACTTTCTTCATGATCAGAGCTTGTGCAGCTAGACTGAACCTTTTCTTTTTCTACATGCACAACGGCAAATATAATTGGCAAGCTTAGAAAAGCCTCAGGCCCTTGGGCAAGGGTACCAGTTAAAAGCGCTTTGCTAAACTGGGCCTGCTGTCCGGATCTAGCAACTGACGCAACATCATGGGAAGAACGTTTCAGTTCTGAGCTAGATGGACCAATGGCCCAACATAGTCCATAGATGGACCAATGCTCATCTCCTTTGTCATTTTATCCTCTCAACAACCCAGTTAAGTACTCTTTAGGCTGAAAGAGAATGTGAGAGGCTAAAGGTCACTCAATGAGCTTTACAGCCACGTGGAGACTTGAACTCGTGTCTCCCTCTTCCTAGTCCAACACTCCAACTCGGCGTGACTGACCTATGCAGCCCTCCAGAGGTCAGGGATGATGCGAGCTGTTGGTGGTTCGACTATCAGACTCGGACCTCAGCGACCAGAGTTAAAATTACCCCACAGCCATGAAACCCACTAAGTGACCTTGGGCCATTCATTGATTCTCAGCCTGACCTACCTGGCAGGGTCGTTGTGAGGATTAAATGAGGAGGAAGAGAACCCATGTAGGCCACACCTTTAGCTCCTTGTAGGAAGAGGTGAGGTACAAATGCAATAAACGAAGTTCTTTCCTCTAACCATATGGCACAAAAAAAGGAATATATATATATTTATATAAATAAAAGAAATTACACTCCCAGTGTTATTATTAGATAAGTGATTCTTGGGAATACCTATTCTTTTTTTGAATCCATTTGCTTACACACCTGGTTAATTCCAGAATTTTATGCTTGCTCACAATCCTACCTGAAGTCACCTTTGCTGTTTCACACCCCTGACACTCCTTAGCAAACAACCTCAAATTTAACTTTTAAGTAAAAAAGCAAACAAACCCCAATACAGAGTTTTGGGTAAAGTGTTAACCTACCACCCCATTATTATCTAAACTAGGACGTCCGGTTGGTTATTGTGTGACTTTCTCCCTCGTTGTGGACCAAGATAAGCAAAACCCGCAAAATTTCTAGCAGTTGCTGTTAGAAATAAGGGTCACAACGATGAGCTTTCGATTTTGTGTGGTTTTTAATTTAAATTGGGCAGCGTTGCCTGCTTAGCTGCCTTCATATATGTCTGTTTCTTTGTGCACAAATTGCAATGCTTGGTGGCTGATTAAAAATATCGATCTACTGTATCAGGATGTTCTATGGCACAACTTCGATGTGTATTAAGGGGGAGACGTTCTTCTTAAAAGCCTCCCCCCACTTTTGCAAGAATCCTCTATCGAACCAGTGCCTCTTCACTTTTTCCTCTCTCTCCCCCGCTCCACCCCAATTGCACGAAAGTGACTTTCCAATCCTAAAACGCCAAAAAGATGCAATGGCAAACGGTAGCATTTATGAAGGAGAAATAAAATACTAAAATACTGAAGAACAAGGAGGAGGAGGAGGAGGAGGAGGAGGAAGAGAGCCTGTAGTTGTAGACAGAGGTGGTGTACAGGGAAACGCATGTACAGGAAAACATACGAAAATCTGTTTTATCAGAGATCTAGGTCAAAAGTGAACGGAAGTGGCAGAGGGCAAGGGTTTGCATCTGCTCTGCACCACTTGCACATTTAGAAACTTTCCCCTTTCCCCCTCCACATGCAACTCACAGCACATCCTGCCCCACTGCGCTGGATCTGCTTCAGCCCCACAGAGGCTCTCCTCTTTCTGGTCTGGCTGTATCCTGCAGCAGAGGGGCTGGGGGGGTGGGGAGCATCCAGAACAGGAAGTGGGCAGCCCTAATTTATTTCCCCTTCACCCCCAACTCCTCAGTCTCTCTAGGAACCAAAACACTCACAATGTAACCCTTCATGTGCCTGTAAAAAAAACACACACCAAAAAACCCTACCCAACCAGAGACACACCTTTAGCCTCACGATCTTATAAAACACACATTTTATCAAGAGGTTATGGAGTACGATGTCCCCATTTTCATCAGAGGAATGTTGGAGGGAATGGACTCAGCTGTGCAAATCCCCACAGAGCGGGGAGGGGTCCCGAGGGTCATCTAGTCCAACCCCCTGCAAATGCAGCAATTACATCTTGGAAGAAGCTGGGGCTTGAACTCTGGACCTCCTGCATGCAAACCGCGTGCTCTTCCACTGAGCCGCGCGGCACCTCCCCAAGGGCAATGAATGCACTCTGCATATGCTCAGAGGGCCCACAGGAGCCTTCATATTCCTGCCTGCCAGGACGCAGGCTCTGAAAAGCTGGGCACCTCATCTGTCCCAAGCACATGTTCTACCCATGTTGGAAGTTCCCCTACTGCCCCGCTCTGCCCAGGGCAATGCAACCCCACGATCAACTCAGCTGTGGTACTAAAGGGGTTAAAGGGCCTGAGCTAGAGAGTCCTAGAGAGGACAGGAAATGGCGAGCGCATGGGGGAACTAAAACGCTAGCGGAATCTTCCTGGTGCACCTTTCTTTCCCTTCCCTTCTTTCTTTGGAGGAAGCTGGGCTGTTTAAAGGGGTGGTGGTGGTGTTTAGTCGTGTCCGACTCTTCGTGACCCCCTGGACCAGAGCACGCCAGGCACTCCTGTCTCCCACTGCCTCCCGCAGTTTGGTCAAACTCATGCTGGTAACCTCGAAAACACTATCCAACCATCTCGTCCTCTGTCGTCCCCTTCTCCTTGTGCCCTCCATCTTTCCCAACATCAGGGTCTTTTCTAGGGAGTCTTCTCTTCTCATGAGGTGGCCAAAGTATTGGAGCCTCAGCTTCAGGATCTGTCCTTCCAGTGAGCACTCAGAGCTGATTTCCTTAAGAATGGATGCGTTTGATCTTCTTGCAGTCCATGGGACTCTCAAGAGTCTCCTCCAGCACCATAATTCAAAAGCATCAATTCTTTGGCGATCAGCCTTCTTTATGGTCCAGCTCTCACTTCCATACATCACTACTGGGAAAACCAGAGCTTTAACTATACGGAACTTTGTTGGCAAGGTGATGTCTCTGCTTTTTAAGATGCTGTCTAGGTTTGCCATCACCTTTCTCCCAAGGAGCAGGCGTCTTTTAATTTTGTGGCTGCTGTCACCATCTGCAGTGATCATGGAGCCCAATAAAGTAAAATCTCTCACTGCCTCCATTTCTTCCCCTTCTATTTGCCGGGAGGTGATGGGACCAGTGGCCATGATCTTCGTTTTTTTGATGTTGAGCTTCAGACCATATTTTGCGCTCTCCTCTTTCACCCTCATTAAAAGGTTCTTTAATTCCTCCTCACTTTCTGCCATCAAGGTTGTGTCATCTGCATATCTGAGGTTGTTGATATTTCTTCCAGCAATCTTAATTCCCGCTTGGGATTCATCCAGCCCAGCCTTTCGCATGATGAATTCTGCATATAATTTAAATAAGCAAGGAGACAAAATACAGCCTTGTCGTACTCCTTTCCCAATTTTGAACTGTAGCAGGAACCCCACCCCCACCCCAATCATTCTGTTTGTACAAACTTCACACATACTCACACTCACACACTACATACGCCACATTTCTGTTGTAAATTCATAGAAAATCAACCATACATCGGATTTGCACTGTTCCATTTTTATTTTACTCCATATGACAAGGATTATCAAAGGGGGGTGGCTTGGTTCTGGTCAGCCATAATCCCTTCACCATCCCAGGACATCCACAGGAGCCCTGCCCAGTTGCTATGTCAGCCCTGATGATCCCAGACAGAAGACAATCAAGATCACAAAGAACTTGCATATGGGAGTGGATTCAGCATGGACTGAAACAAAGGACAATGATCAGATCTTCCCTCTGGGGGCAGGAAACTGCCAACTCCCCTTTGTCTCCTGGAAGTGACTCATGAGGAGGGGGAAAGGAGGAACCAGCCAGGTGACAGGACACTCAGGTTACCACCACAACTCCTCCCTCAACCCCTCCTTTCTGTAATGTATGCATGTTGGCAACCCCTCCTTTCTGTAATGTATGCATGATGTTTCTGGGGGTGGGCTTGACCTAGAGGATGGGAATTTCAAAAGTTTTTATAAGGTCTTGCACACCATCTTTCTGGGTCTTTCCTCTCTCCTGCAAGTGAGGGGAACACCCTGTTGCAACAATTCAATAAAGGCCAAGCCTACAGGCTGCTGTTTTGCTCCAAGTTATCCTGGTTGGTGTCTTTGTTTTTGTCCAAGGGAGCCCTCAGATTTTTCCGGTAACAGAACCAATCAGTTGTTCCATATCCAGTTCTAACTGTAGCTTCTTGTCCCACGTAGAGATTTCTCAGGAGACAGATGAGGTGATCAGGCACTCCCATTTCTTTATGAACTTGCCATAGTTTGCTGTGGTCGACACAGTCAAAGGCTTTGCATAGTCAATGAAGCAGAAGTAGATGTCTTTCTGGAACTCTCTAGCTTTCTCCATAATCCAGTGCATGTTTGCAATTTGGCCTCTGGTTCCTCTGCCCCTTCGAAATCCAGTTTGCACTTCTGGGAGTTGTCGGTCCACATACTGCTTAAACCTGCCTTGTAGATCAGCTGCTCTACATAAGGACATAAAAGAGCCTCTGAATCAGGCCAGCAGCTTATCTAGTCCAGCATCCTGGTCTCAAACAGCAAGCAGGATTCAAGCAGTTTCCCCTCCTGTGGTTTCCAGCAATTGCCATGCAGAAGCATTGGTGTCTCCAACCTTGGAGGCCGGTGTTTCCCAAACTTGGGTTTCCCGGTGTTTTTTGGACTACAACTCCCATCATCCTTAGCTAGCAGGACTGATGGTCAGGGATGATGGGAACTGTAGTTCAAAAACAGCTGGAGACCCAAGTTGGAAAACACTGGCAGAGGCAGAGCATAGCTTTCATGGCTAGTAACCATCGATAGGCCTCTCCTCCATAATTTTTAAAAATACATATATACATTTTTATTAATTTTTTAACATAGTCATTTAACATACATTTTTATCTTATACAATTTTTTTAGACTTCCGTCAACTACCTCTGAAGATTTTCCATTCTTTATTGCTTAATCTGCATTTCTTAATTTCTCTATTACTTTTAATTATCCTTAACTAATATTCTCTTCATAATCTTCCTTGCAATATTTCGCATAATCCTCCTTACAAAACATCTTGCAGTCCTACTAGCGTAATCTGTTTATTACAGTTGCTTTTCAAATAGTTCAAATATTTACTCCAGTCCTCTAAGCATCTTTGGTCCCACAGGTTTCGAATCCTTCCTGTCAATTTGTCTAATTCTGCATAGTCCATTAATTCTCCTCCATGAATTTGTCTCATCTTCTTTCAAAACCATCCCTGTGGCAGGGAGTTCCATAGTGTGACAAAGAGCTGCATAAAGAAGTATTTTCTTTTATCTGCCCCTGAATCTTCCAACATTCAGCTTCATTGGATATCCTTGTAATTTCCCAGCATTTAGGAACTTGAGATGCCCTTAACAAATTCCCACTCAGCCATGATGTTGACTGCATTAGCTTGGGCCAGCCCTTACCTTAAAGTCTAACCACCCTTTTGAGGTTGTTGTGAAGATAAATTGTTTGTGTGTGAAGAGGGAGAGAGAGGCAGGCAGGCAGAGAGGGCCCTGCTGCCCCAGGCTTCTTGGGGAACTAGCAAGATTCAATAAAAGGAAAACTATCACAATAATACAGTGGTACCTCAGGTTAAGAACTTAATTCGTTCCGGAGGTTCGTTCTTAACCAGAAACTGTTCTTAACCTGAAGCACCACTTTAGCTAATCGGGCCTCCCGCTGCTGCCGCCGCAAGCACAATTTCTGTTCTTATCCTGAAGCAAAGTTCTTAACCCGAGGTACTATTTCTGAGTTAGCCGAGTCTGTAACCTGAAGCGTCTGTAAACTGAAGCGTCTGTAACCCGAGATACCACTGCACTGACAAAATATCATATTAAATAGCTAGATATATTTCCCTTTATTCTCCATTTTATTGTATTGTATTTTACTTTTTCTTGGCAACGGCTGTAGAAATATTATATGCATCCCAGTAAAGAATGGATACAAAAACTTATGAAATATGCAGAAATGGCAAAACTTACTGGAAGAATAAGAAATCAAGATGCTACGGTAAAATCTGGGTGCGGGGCTACTCTGCCACCCAGCTCGTCGGACTAGGTCCGCGGGTCCCTGCGGAAGAAAATGAGCTCAGCCGGAGACAGGAGCAAACTGCAGAAGATCCAAGTTTATTGCGCAACAGGTTCAAGACGAGATTGAACAGCAAGGAAGGGGTGACATGAACTTTTGAAATTTCCCTCCATATCCCAGAATACAGTGCAAAATACATCCCAGTTACATCATGAATACATTAAGAAGAGGTTGGGTTACACCGGATTAACATATGGAGGAGGGAGGGGGGAATATGGAGAGCTGGAGATATGGAGGAGGGAGGGGGGAATATGCAGAGCTGGAGATATGCGCAGATAAGCACATCCTGAGAAGACAATGGTCCATGTATGCGTAGTCTGTCACCTGGCATCGCCCGGAGGAAGGGCTTGGCAGAGCGATTTGACCAGATTAGGGTCTTGACACCTTGCTTGAGGGATTATGGAGGACAGGGGAGGTGTCATGGGGTCCTAGAGAAATTGAGCAAATTGGCACGTTGATTTTCTATGAATTTTATAGATTTTAGTCCCTTTTGACATTGACAATTGGAAATAAATGGATATATTGTAGCGAAGAAGGAGGTGAAGAAGACATGCCCCCCTTCCGTATCAGTGAATACATTAAGAAGAGGTTGGGTCACACAGGATTAACATATGGAGGAGGGAGGGGGGAATATGCAGAGCTGGAGATAT